CTTCGCCCCCAAAAGGCACAACTGTTTTCAACCCAGGTTCGGTTATCCCCATACATTCACTGATTGCTTGAAACAAGGGTTGGCAGGCTCGCCAATTCTGTAACCGGAGAAAGAGAAATGCTAACTAATGTACCATTAGTTTAACATGAGACTGTCCGCACTCTACGCAGGCTCTCTAACATTTGAGCTACATGTACATGTAGCTGCCGCTGACGATCGACCAAGTCCAGTTCCACTACACCAGTATCTACCTAGATTAAACACGTGTTCACTATGTTTTAGATTATTGATGATCCACGTACTTTTTTCCAAGTTTATGACATGATGAATGGGCACTATTGAAAGACGGCATTACAGATAAATTATTAGGCGTCATACGCCGATGTAACGTTGAAAATGGACCCCCGCTGAAAAAGGGTCCATTTTCCATGTGAAGGCCGTTGAAAACTGACCCGTTGAAAACGGACCCTGACTTTGTTCGAAGTAACAAAATGATCTCATGTACCTATATGCGTCCATCGTCCGACCAAATCAGGTCAGTGTGACCTATTTCCCAATATTTTAAATACACTAACAGAAATTAGCACGGGGTTCCGAAATATGCACATTCTGTTTTCATAAATTAGGTAAATTTGACATACTTTTGAAAAATTGATCTACATTACTAAAAATTGTTATTTGGTTCAGAAATGAACTCAGAATTGTTGTTTCACTTAATTCGGTCAATGTGAGCTACTTTTGAAAAAAATACCTAGATTGCTCAAAATTGCCATTTGGTTCAAATAGTCTGGGGTCCATTTTCAACATTAAATATTGATAAGTTTTGACGATTGAATATACAAAGGTGACATTTTGTTTCTAGGATCTAATTACAACGTTGAATAGTGACAATGGAATATAAAATGGTGTCAAACAGAAAAAAACAATGCTTTTCCACCCCCTTGTCCCCATACATAGTCCCTGTACTGGATCCGCTCCTAAACGAATCCTCTCCGAACAAGGGCTATAACTACGACAATGGTGCATAATGCTCTTGGGTCTACTGTTAAAGTTGAATGTAACACTGGGACCATACTTTATCCATTACATTCATGTTTTATTTTGGGACTGATCAAGATGTTGACACCATTATCAATCTACCAGATAATAGATACAAAAAGATCAAGCTTAGATAGAATGAAGGAAGATCTAACGATGGTTGGAGCAAAGATCCGGCTTTTGTCTCTTGTTTTTCATGACATAAAGTTCTAGGGTCCATAAATATCGACCCACGACCATTTTCGACAATTGAATATATTAAAACGACGTTGAATAGGGACCTCTGTCCTTTTTTGACAATTGAAAATGGAAAACTGTAATACTTTTCAGGGGTCCATTTTCAACGTTGAATATGGACCCGGGTCATTTGCTTTGACACATGAATATAAAAAGGTGTCATAATTTTCTTGGATCCATGATCAACGTCGAATAAGGACGCACGACCATTTTCGACAATTGAACCATTTTCAACATTTTATATAGACCCGGGCTACATTTTGACATTGGGATTGTGTCATATTTTTCTGGTGTCCATTTCAACGTTGAATAAGTACCTACATGTATGTCACTATTACAATTTTTAGGGGTCTATTTTCAACGTTGAATATGGACCTGGGTCACTTTTTGACAATTGAATGTTAAAAGGTTTCATGATTTTCTGGGGTCAATTTTCAACGTGGAATAAGGACCCGGGCCATATTAACACATTCAATTCGAAAATTGTCGAAATATATTGGGGTTATTTTTCATGTTCAATATGGACTAAGGTCATTTTAACCAGTATTAAATTGAAAAGAAAGTATGCCGTTCTTATGTCAAAACAATTGGATTTTTGTATTGTAACCTGTTGACTATTTTCAAAAATTGCATAATTTGGTTTGGCATCATTTTTTCATTTATGCTAATTTCTTAACCTTATAACATTTTCAATAACGTAGGTCTAATTTTGAAAAGTAGGTTTTAGTATAATTTCTGAATCCTGCAACAACTTATAAAGTTGAGGTTAAACTAGAAAAGACGTAATTCTTATGAACATGGCTTGGACAAATATATGTAAACTTCTGGACCCTATGACAATGTCTTCAAATATAGCTCAAATAATTTGGTCAAATAACGGGTCGTTTACAATCTCCTTTTCCGATTAATATTTGGGATAATTATTGAGCAATATTTTGGATAATGAAGGTCAATATTTCAAAATTAGGTCACGGTGACCTAATTTTATCATGCAACTGTTAAATGTTAATTCTGAACCCTATGAACATAATGTAGGTCAAATTTAGAAAATTGGGACACAGTGACCTTATTTTGTCAAAAAGTTGTTACCCCTATGACCCTTTTTGATAATGTACATTGTAGGTCAAAGTTTCAAAATTAAATCACAGAGACCTACTTTTGTCTAACATCTGTTAAATGTTAATTTCTGACCCCTACATTGTACGACCATTTTTTCTGATGTGCATGTAGGTCAAATCTTCAAAACTAGGTCACAGTGACCCAATTTGGTCAAACAACAGTTTAATGCTTATTTTCTTAACCCGATGACAACTTTTTATTACGAAGGTTAAATTTCCAAAAGTAGGTCACATTTACCTAATTAGGTCAGACATCCATACTGGGTTAATTTCTAGAAATAGGTCGCAGAACTACATTAAGTATAATCTAAGTGGATGTTTTAAATCAATATACTGTATCATTTTTTCATATGGTTCTCTTTTAAACGGGGGTCCATTTTTAACGTGTATGTAAACACAAATTTGCGTTAGGTTCTTTTTTCAACGGCTTCTAGGTTATATTTTCAAAATTGAAAACTGACCCCGATTCCATTTTCAACGGGGTTTATTTTCAACGTTACACTGGAACCAAAACGGATCGAAGACCATGCTTACAAAATCCTGATGCGTCCCAAATTAGAATACATGTACAGTGTCTCAGTTGGAACAACACCTGTTAAATTAACCAGTTGGAGAAAGTACACCGTCAAGTGTGTACAACATAACTTAACCTCAGCACCGGGATCCGCTCTGACATGTTAAACTCCCCACACTGGCCACCTTTCATCTTCGTCTTCTCAAGTTCAGTACAAAATCGTACACAATGCAGCATTCCATCCAAAAGTGTTGGTATCACTGTCGACCACCGCACTCGCTCAAGCCGTCACAACACATGCATCATACAATAAGATACAATAGGATAAGTAATGGATGTAGGCAGACACTTTGCGGGTTTATCAACATCTTAATATATTTTTAACGTATTTAGAAAGGAGTATTCATTAATTGTCATTTCATGAGATTCATGTATGTCTTTGAATAGCCATTGTTTCTTCTGGTCATGACACCAGACTTAGACCGGACACGTACAAATGTATATGTCCAAATGACTAAGCCAGAGGACCCTCGGGCTAGCCTTTGAACAAACAAGCAACCTTTCCTATAACACAATGGAATCTACTCCCCTAGTAAATAAATAATAATAATATTTATTCAGGTAAAATAGGCATGTTATTACAAGATATCACAATCTAGAATAAAATATATAATTAAAATCACATTGCAGCTTGTAAATAAAAAAGAGTATTTTATATTAAGACTGAGAACAATAATAGATCTGACCTAATAAAAGGTTTTTTAATTCAATCATTGACATACATCACAGAGTATAAAAATCTAAAAAAGTCTGATACACTGTAAAAAGGCAGATATTTCTATAAAATAAGACAAAATGAGACAGACTATTTTAGTAAATGAAGGTAGATATAAATAAATAGGTCGCATAATAGGAGTGGTGGTGAGTGCTATTTACCTAGGATTACCCATAAAAGCCACAAAGTGGCTTATTGGGGTCCTCAAAAAAAGGAAGAAAAATAATAAAAAAAAATCAAGAAAATCAATTAGGTAACGATTCAGATAGCACAGAATATAGGATATGTGTGTATCATATTTGATAATTCATCAGTAAGATTGTATTTCCTATATAGAAAACAATCCATACTAGTTATTTTATAGTGGCAGACAGCTTCTTTAGTAGCAAACTACAGAATATTTTTACATAGTTATTTTCAAAGATAACAAAATAAAACAAACTAAATATTCTAGAAAGGCATGAAAACTTGGAATTTGAAATCATTGTGCAATGCCGCAAGTCATGCTTTCCAATGGTTTGGGGTCCCCCTACCAGCGAAGTCTGCTCGACCTGCGCCATTGCACAGGTCTATATATGTATGTTGTGACAAAAGAATGAAGATGTAATAATAAGATGCTTTCAAAACCGCTTATACAACTCTAAATCACATTTGTTTTCATGTCACATATAGTTTGTCGTGTACGTGCCAAGTTGTTTTAATTACTGCATGCTGTGGTTTATTTTTTCCTTGTTTTTGTGTGTAGAAACCTTGTTATATGCCTGTTGTTTTCTGCATGTTGTCTTATATACCCTGTTTTTATACCTTTGTTTGTCGTAATAATAGCGCTACAGATCAGCTAATGTTTCCATTACAACATATATGTACGACTCTTAACAAAAGTTCTTGTATCTCTTGTATATTATGCACTTTAATTCATGTAGATGCCTCTTTACTATCCATACATATCTACAAATGTATAATTAAGATTTCTCATATACACATTATTAAATATAGAACTTTTTTCATTCAAATATTTTATTTAAGTCTTGTAAATTTGTATCTTTTAAGTTTAAATATCATCTTTAACAGTTTTGAAGGTATATTATATCTCTTTTTTTTTCATTAGATATTTTTCAGGACTTTATATGACACAGGTAGTTTTTAATGAACGCGCATATCCTAAATATAGAAGAGGTGCATTATAAAAGTATGTTGTAAAAACATCTTTGAAAAAGATAAGATACGAAACCAGTAAAACAATAGTGTAGTGCTACCTATTTTTTACACCCCTGTACAATTGAGTACAATTAGAATGATCTCCCTTCGTTAAGCCCAACTTCCACTGTAAACACTATCACCTGACTGGGGTGACTGTACTATTTGAAGCTGCTCTCGTCCCAAAATGCAGCTCTACATTGTCATACTGGTGCGTATTAACCATTTTATATATATGTTGCTATTTGAGATTACCTTAACTAAATGCAACTGACTGAACCACACGTGCTGTATATTAATGTGTACGGTGTACCAGATGAGTTATGAAAACTGACAGCTGACTGATGAAAGTTCAAGTTCAAGTTCTTATGCTACTGCAGCTGTAAAATTGATCAGCTGACATATCCCACACCCTCAACACTGATAAATGGATTTAATTTTTAAACTAAAATTGCTCATAAATAATACAGAAAACGACGAGTTTGAAAGATTATGGTGTAAAATTCTGATATACAGTACCCTCAGCTAACCAGGAAGGAGATGTACACTGTATGTATTCTATTTCAAGATACAAGAATATTTATTTTCCGTCGATTTTGAAAAACATACAATATAAGCTATAAAGAGCTTGTATTTCGACGAAACATTTCATAAAACAAAAAAGTGTAGAACGTACATAATGTATGTATAGGGTCTTTTCAATGCCTGAATCACATGCTTCTGATAGCATTTGTTTCATTTTTCTGCTTTCTTTTGGCTTTATGTGGACATGCGGGATATACAAATTATGTGACATGTATATTCTGTCTTTAATAAATACTATATTATAAGAGTTGGCTATTTTATCAACTCTTCTGCTAGGATCAATGTTGAACCTAGATCTTTGATGCTCTACTTATTAAGCTAAAGAGAAAGTCACCCTTCCCTAGCCAGGGTGAAATACTCGAGCTCCCCATCCAGGGTTGAACAGGGGACCTTTTTGGATTACTAGCAAGTATGAAGCGTTAGATCTCCTGCATACATGTATACTGGTAATAGGAATTCTCTCAAGCCAAGTCAGTAGGATTGGCTAGTATGTTACCAAGGTGACATGCACTAATAAGTATTATGCTCTCCCATCTCTCCCTACTCACCAAGCTTTCTCCTGCTGATGTTGGGGTGTGGTGGTAGTTGTAATTTGTAATCCCCAAAGATCCTGGTGGTTAAGGTGGTGGAGGAGTGTTAGAGAAATCTTCAAGTTATCACTACACTAGTGAGTGTTCTCCTTCTAAGGGAGGATTTCACTTGCAGCACATGCATGCCATTTTCTAGTGCTGAGATGCAAGTATCTTGACATCCAAACTTCCCTGAGTCCCTTCTGGCATCACGATTATTATATTATTTGCAAGGTCTCAGCCAAATATACCATTACAATAAAGATCACTCGGCTTTCTGAGAAGAATGAAAGTTTAGAGGATGTCTCCAAGAAGTCAAAATGTAAGATGTTAAATATTTTTAAAGGGGCCCTCCAATTTGAATTAAGGATTTCCCAAGTGAAATAACATTTTGTATATATGCATGGCACTTGAAACAGCACAGACTTTGAACCTTAAAGAGGATGACACCTTTGGTTGTTGTAGTTTAAGTTTGATACCAAATTTATTTGCTTATTTCAATTAATTTTATTTACTTTTTTTCAATAGGGAGTTCTGATTGGCTTTGTTCAAGTGGTTGAGCCTCAATCTGGACACACAGTAAAACATGTTCACATGATCTTCATGAACCATCTGGGTGAGTATCAAACACCAACAAATTATAATTATCATATTATCATATCAATTAAGACCATTTAGTTCCTCACAAACACATTATCCTGTTACACACCATTAGATTATAAAGTTTCTTTGTATGTTTGCATACATGTGCATCAACCGTTTTCATGCTCAAGCATGGATTTCATGCTCAAGCAAACTTTCTGGTAACTTGCTTCAATCATGTGACACCCTCATGATCAGATAGTCAAATGTTAACATTTAAAATAGAATGCGGCTTGAAGTACTAGTCTCTCCCAAATTCTTCCAAAAATGTTGACGAAATGTTATTTTTTATTAATTAATCACCCGAACAAGAAATGAGTTTGAGTATGAAAACGGTTTCATGAATACGGGCCCAGGTGAATTTTACTGTAGTAATACCCTCACCAGGTTTCAATGAAGATATATGTAATAAAAGGTTCTGTATTTAACAATGTAACAATTCAAGATGTTATATTGGCTAGGTAACCAGAACTTCCTTTTTGGCTGGATCTTGTTGGTTGTTATCTCATCTAGTCATTCTTAATTATGTTACTGCTGTGAAAAGGAAATATTCTACAACCCTATATGCATTGTAACATACATAGACATATTTTTATTCATCTAGATGTTGGATATGATGGCCTTCTACCAGAAGAGATTGGCTTTGTCAACAATATTCTCAATAAGTATTTCAATGTGTACTTTCCCCGTGCGATCAAAGTAGCTACAGAGCTGATGGGCCTTGGGTACTATGAGAAGCTCATCTACACCACCCATCCCTGGCTGGTCAGTCTGTACATGGACTGTCCAGCATACCTTACACTGGCCAACATACCACTCCAGGTAATTGAGCAGTCATCTCCAGGTACAAAGTACAACTTATGCATGTAACTTTCAGTAAGATATATGTTATAAGCATGATTGACACTTTTAGTAAGGATATGTTTATGTTTATGTTAAGATACCACAGGTGTGTCAGGTAGCTAAATTAAACAAATAATTTACGTGGTACTTGTGTTTGTCATTTAGACCAGCAGTGCGAATCTTTTTCTTATTCACAGTAATGAGGTTAAAGGTCAACTTTAAGTGCTAGTTGGGGGTCAAAAGTCAACATGGGTTAAAAGCTTTAACAATCTTCTCCTGAAACTCCATAAGGCCCAGGGTCATAATATTTTGCCAATAGGTACCTGGGATGGGGTGCTATACATTTTCCTCATTAAAATGATCTTGACCTACTTTCAAGGTCACAGGGCTCAAATATGTTCAAAATTTCAAACAACAATATCCTAAGAACCATTTGGACTAGAGTCATGATACTTGAGTTTGTTATGAAGACCAGCAGTGCAAATATTTTTCTTAATTACAGTAATGAGGTCAAATGTCAACTTTAAGTGCTAGCTGGAGTCAAAGGTCAACGATGGTTTAATGCTTTAAAATTATAATTTCAAATTTCAAACAACAATATCTGAAGTGTTTAAGTGATGTTAAAATGTCTTGGTTCTAGTTACCAAATTTGGTCTGAAGTTACCTATATGTCAGTTTCATGTAACAATAGAAACAGCTGAGCGATACAGGCCCTCTGTGCCTCTTGTTCATGAGACAAATTTATCCTACTTATTTACATTTGTGTTAGTGAGTATTTAATACCAACACAAGCATATGAGAAAGTAAAGATCACTCATGGAAAATTGAAGTCCCTATACAAATAAGTCCTTACAGGTAAGATACATGTGTATCTCTGTCAGTCAAAGGAAATTTATGTGTAAACTAACAATCCAAGTTATAATTTAAATAAAGGGATATTTGTTAATCATTAATCCCAAAATGTACAGCCAGAATTTAGTGATGGAGGTATTATGTAAAATATTAGTTCATTTTGCTAGTTTTCACATTATATAATATTGCATGTACATGTATTTAGTCTTGATGGTGAAGACCAGAGACCAGTATATAGAAGCTATATGTATGACACATGCTTTTTTTCAGTGCCCCAACGCAACCATGAAAGCAAAGTTCACTCAGGCAGTTCAAAATGGGATAATCACCTGGCATGCTGGTCCAATGAATATGCAGTTTGAAACACTGGAACCTTCAATTGTCAAGTTTGGCCTTCAGCTCAGTACTGACTTAGACAAATTCTTCAACATCACCAGAAAACACCGCACCCTCAGTCAGAGGGATGTCCCAGGTAGATATCATAATTAGTAAGAGGGATGTCCCAGGTAGTTATCATAATTAGTTAGAGGGATGTCCCAGGTAGTTATCACTGTAAGTTAGAGGGATGTCCCAGGTAGATATCATAATTAGTAAGAGGGATGTCCCAGGTAGTTATCACTGTTAGTTAGAGGGATGTCCCAGGTAGTTATCATAATTAGTTAGAGGGATGTCCCAGGTAGGTATCACCTTTAGTTAGAGGGATGTCCTAGGTATCCTTTGAGGTGGACATTCTAGGTAGAGGTTAGTTGGAAGGGGGAGTCTTCATTATTCAGAAATATGTCAATGAAGGAGGAGGTCAGTATGCCTCAAAAAGGAGGATTTTAATAACATAGTTGTAGTGTGTACTGAGTTAGATCTGTTTATTCCCAGCATAAGTTAGAGCTATCATTATTAATGTACTGTATGCACTCATTAGATTCAGGGAAAACTTTTAACTGACCTAATTGTTCACCCACAGGCATGAGCCAGGCCCTTATTCCACTGTTTGAAGAGATGGGTGTTGAGGCTGTCAGTGTGGGAGTCAATACAGTAACCTCCCCTCCTGCTGTGCCACCCATATTCCGATGGACCTTTAAAAACTCCAGTGTCATTGGCTTGTGGCATCCAGGTATGGAAAGTATATGGAAATATTAATTTGCAAACAGCTATAATGATTAATGACAGTAAATGTTTCTATCGGAAAATAATTACAACTGATCTACAAAAAGGTAGATCTGTGTGTGTTTGTACTCTGTGTTACACTTCCTGGTACACTGTGTTTGTCTGTCCTTGGTTCTGTAGGTGGTTATCCTGAGAATCCAGGTCCTTTTCCGTTTGCCCCTGGTGGATTGTCCCGACATGATTGTGCAACCTTTCCTGGCTTTGACCATGCATTGTGTTTTGGGTTCAGAACAGACAACAGTGGACCACCAATGGACATGGCTGTAAGATCCTCAACTGGACATTTTAATGAAACCTGTTTGATCGTCACCAATACACACTCATTATAATGCATGCATGAATTATTTATATTGATAAAATTTGTCTACATGTTTAAGAGAACAATATTATACATGTGATAAACCAATTGCAATATTTTCTTATGAAAGAATTCAACTTTATATTGGTTCTTGCATATGTCTTTCATCTGTACAACCTTTTCATCTTCAGGAGGTTTTAAGATTCTATGAGATTGCCAGATCCCAGTTTCCGGGAGCAGATGTACAAGCATCTACATTTGAGGACTTTGTTGCCAGTTTGGAGCCAATCAAATCAAAGCTTCCAGTGGTAACTAAGGAACTGGGTGACACTTGGATACAGGGATCAGCCTCTGACCCAAGGAAAGTTGCAGAGATGAGGGCCTTAATGAGAGCCAGGGCTGCATGTCTGGAACATAGCAGTGGTATGGTCAATAGATAATTTAAAGAAAATACTAATATGCTGTAGTTAATTTCTTGGAGAGACAGTCGTGTGATATTTACTCTTTCTGAAAAATAGACTTGTATTAATCTCATATACAGTTGTTAATGTCAACTTTTAAGTGCCCTTCATTGTAATTATCTTAAATTTTGTAATTAGGCTAGTGTATCTGAATTTCTCTGGATGCAAGAGGAGTTATTCATTACTATAGATATATCCAATAGATTTAAATTAAAAACAACAAAGAGGATTCTGTTTTATCTTTCTAGTTTGTATTTTTGGTTCCATATCAGTTTGAAACTGTTTAACCAGGTCGTGGATCCATTACAGCAGTTTTACTGGAAAAAGTTATGTTTTTTATGGTTATCATTTCTGATTTCAATCAGAAACCATTTGGAAATGACCATGCAGGAATTTATCAGAGTACTTTTTAGGTCCATTTTAAGGACACATTCCAAATTGGAAAAGAGTGTGATTTCCCCAATTTGCCCCTTTGAAACTCCAAATTATGAGGTCAAATAAATGAATAGATTTAAATGCATACCTGAAGACTGACTTGGTTCTCAAAATGCAGAGTATGTAGGAGGGTCAGAGTGATCTTCATTTGTGTTTTCATAAAATTAATATAGGCTAAATCATAAGTTAAACTGTCTAATTCCGTGTATTCAGAGTGTTTGTAATGATCACCTTAATTTCCCCCAAAAATGGTTCTTATGCCAAAGATTTGCCACATTTCATCCCAGGACCCATTTCCCAAAATTCCCTGATAAAGCCCTGCCATTATTGTTTGAATTTTTGGTCACAGCATGGAAAGTTCCCAAATCTAAAAACAAAACAGAAAGACAATTTCTGATCAGAAAATGTTTGCTAGTGATAATTCGTTGTTTTACTCCTGAATAACAAAATTGTGAGTTGGTAAATATAAGGTTATATATATTGAGGTTCCTACCAAGTGATCTTTTGTTTGCAGGTTGTTCTCTATCTGACGACAGAGTATACAACTCCAGTCGTTTCCTCCTGAAACTAGGGGAACACACCTGGGGACTGGACAGTGTGTTTGACCGCATCCATTGGACAAATGACCAATTCTATAAAATGCTGGATAATGGAAGTAAGTCATATCGATTTTCTTATGATCGTTTGAGTTAATATTGAAAATGCAAAACATTTCTTTCAACTTCCATCACCTTAAAACAATATGCACCTGTTAAAGATTAATATTCAAAGTTATGCTAGTGACAAGTTAATTTTGCAAATATGCAAGACATGATAACTAAAATGTATACTCAAGACTCTATTTGTATTTGTATATAATTGTATATATTTGTATATAATTGTATATATTTGTATATAATTGTATATTTTTGTATATATTTGTATATAATTGTATATATTTGTATATAATTGTATATATTTGTAATTTTATGGTTCCAAGCTCAGTTTTTTAATCAAATGGTTACTTAGATGAAAACTTGAATTGTTAATAGCCCAGAGCTTCATGAATGGTGTGCTGTCCTGGCAAGAGCAGAGAGACTTCTCCTACATTGGAGTGGAGGCCCTGGGAGACCAGCCTCTCGCTCGGGACATGCAGGCAGAGCTGGCACAGATCACTGCAACCAAACCTGACTTGGGCGGTGAGCTATTAACTTCACATCTTCTATTAAAGAAAAATTAACAAATGTGCAAGGGTTATGGTGGATGTACAACAAAGGTATTTTTTTTTTTTTATTTCACCATAATATACAAACATGTTTATTATATATATGGTTAAATATACATCAAAGGTGATAGAATTACATGTGAAATGTTATCAAGTGTATATTTGCCTGACTAATTACAATTGTTTAATTTTAAAATCTCTTTATCACAATGTACAATAAATCAGAAGTAAGGTTTCCTGTTATGCCTATCATGTTCTACAGCTGAAATGGTCACATGACCATCATAATTCTGTTAAAGGGAGGTCATTTATCCCTTTTTGCACCAGTAAACACATTAATACTTCAACTCTAAAATTATGATATCAGATAACTGTAAGAAAGTACATTGTATGCCAGTTGTGATAAAAAATATTTTTTTTAAGCCACAAGGTAAACCAAGATGGAACCATTCTTTCTATTTATTGTGACAAAAGATCTGTGGTTTGTCCTAAGTAACTTTAGAGGTTATGAAGCAGACAACTGTATGCTTGATCGCCAATATATTAAGCTTGGATGAGAACTTAACACAACTGCTGTACAGCCTTTGCGTATTTCTATGGAATTTTGTGGAAATTTTGTGGATTATACAGGGTTGATTTTCCATATTTTTAAGGATTACGGGTAGAATTTTATGTACCAGACTTTCTACTATATTTCAGACTAGTATACCGTCTTACATCCTTGGATGTGAGCTAAACCTGACTACTGTAGTGGTTCTATGTATTTCTATGGAGTTTCATGGTATGTTAAGGATTATCCAAGATTGGTTTTCCATATTTTTTAAGGAACACTTGTAGAATCTATGCATTGAACTTTTCCTACTATATTTCAGACTATGATGTGGTCACTTCTATGCTTGACATCCAGAGCTGCAGCAACGGGTTCCAGTTCCAGTTTGATGTTGGAGGAGCCTTGACCAGACTCACCTTGCCTGGAAATAATCAGAAGGTGATTAAATATAGTATTAAAACACTTGTATCAATTTCTCCTTGTATTTTCGAGCATTTATCTCTTGAGGAAAATTATTCTTTGAAAGCCAGATTTCTTGAAAAATAAATGTTAACTCCCACTTCAAGTTGCTGTATGATGTACAACTAATAGCTTAACAAGATGCTGATGATAAGCCAAGGGAGGTAACCTCTCTTGGGACATTATGACATTATGGACACCATTCTTAAAGTCTGGTTAGAATAGGTTCTTTATTACCTTTTGTGACCTCAACATAATAATGACATCAACAAATGGCCAATTATAGCACAATATAGGCTGTTGATTAGTGGTGGGAATCTGTATCAACAATGCCATGTGAATATCTTATCAGGTTTTTTAAAATCAAATGTCAGTGTTAAGATATGTGAAAATCTTTAAAAAGTTTCTTATTTGACTTATATTTCATCTTTTTTTGATATGTTTCTGCTAGTCCTGGGCCTCCACTACCCATCCCCTGGGCAAGTTTATATACCAGACCCTCAATCAGTCAGACTTTGACTATTTCAACCACAATTATCCCTATGGGAAGAAATTTGACCTCGGCATTGGCAAATTCAACATCTCAAAAAATGCCAATGTCTCGAGTCAGCTGTGGGAAGTGAGACTGATACAGTTATATAAGTCTAAACGTAAGTGTGACCTTGTTCTGTTTCATCTATTACATTAAAATATGAGTGATATAGTATCTGAGTTACACTTTATCTGAGGCATGTAGTTCAGCAATATCCTATAAATCTTGTCTCCATCACTTGGAGGTAATAGCTTATTGTTTGTGTAAGTCTTTAGTCAACACCTAATATAATAAACAGTGAAATATTTAGATTAAAGAACTTGAACTTAGTGATTTTATTTTTTAAATCAAAACTGTTACTTTAAATCCCACTACATATCATTGTGTAAGATACAAGATATTTCAATAGTTTAAGTGAATTCATTGTACAGAGATGAAGGTATTATTACAAATATCTAACATCTTTTTAGGTGTAATATATGTTATCCTATCTCACAACACATAGCCCCTGTATTGTCCACAGGTAACAGCTGTGAGTACATGTTACAACTGGAGATGAAGGACGCCATCACTCTACAGCAGTACGGTGCACCTGCTGTTATATTCCTCAAGTATGATGCAGCCATGTCAAAGACTAACACTGCAGGTAAGCACACTCTATATCTAAAATAATAACATAGTTACGGTGTAATGGTTAAGCTCAGTTAAAGAGTTTTTCAGATCTTGTACTGATGGATCCATATTTTGTTAATTTTGACGTAATTTTCAGTGAGTTTCCTGTTAAGTTTAATGGACTAAAAAATAGCAGGATGATAATTTTTGGGTAATTTTTTTTTTTGCATCCATTATAAGGTAAAATAAAAAGAATTTTCATAAAAACGAAAAAAAAGTAGAATTCATAAATACAAAAAAGCTACCCAAGTGGGAGTGCTGTTACATGTACAGCAACTGCTCAGATTTCAGAGTTGTTCCCCTTTATGTATGGGTGCATTGGTGAATTGACAGTTGTAATCCTATTTTGACTATTCATATTGGTCGACAATAAGCCAGATAATAAAAGAGTTTAAATAATGTAAAGATAGGATAATGGCTTGTGGTAAAGTATGTCATAATCACAATTCATTAGATTGACTTTTGACCTTTCAGCTGTAAGTGTGGAACTGCAGTGGTTCAAAAAGCCTCCGACAAGAATGCCCGAAGCTTATTATTTATCTTTTGAGCCTCCTCCTAGACAGGGTCACAAGTGGATGCTTCATAAGCTGGGTCATATGATAGACCCTCTTAATGTGGTGCAGAACGGGAGTCAGAGGCTTCATGGTAGGTTATGTGCTGATGGCTTTAGGATAGGAATCATATGTTAATTCATTCCTGTGATTGAATAAAATTCATTAAAGCTTTGTTATACCACAACCAAAAGTGTCATCCTCGATACTCCACTCACGTATCTGCACCTCTAGAATATGTCATAGCAAAATTGAAGGCTCAGCTTCAAAGAACAGGTATCAGCCTGACGATTGGTTAGGATTTTTTACCTGTGACTAATAAAACGGTTTATTTTATGCCTTAAATTTTGCTATGATATATTCCAGAGGTGCAGAGAGCATATGTGAGTGTCACCCCTGGAGTATCGAGGATGCATAATTGTCAGTGAAAGCTTAATTTACTGCCAACGTTTGTAGGGATAAAGTTTGGCATAAAAAGAGATGTGGCAATATATCAGAGGAAATATATAGAGGAATTGTAAAGAAAAAAGCAAAAGAGAACTATGAAAAAGGCTGGCATTAAATAATATAGCAAACTGAATTTAAAATCCCCATACCATTAATAAAAACTGTAACTATGTATTAGAAAATAATTTTCCAGCATAACTTTACTTTAGATTGAAAAGAAATCCTTACCTTGCAGGACATTTATAAAAAATTCTTAACTGATACTGATACACTGTATAAGAAAATATAATCAATAATAGTGTTCTGNGTGGGGTGGGGGGGGGGTGCTAGACCATGATTCTAATTCTGGACTTAAGATTGTTATTCTATTGCTCTAACCGACTGAGCTACCTGGTCAGTGTAAGGGCCTTGGCCACTTTAATAATGCTACAGGTATATACAAAATTAAATAAGGGGAGGTTACTGTGTATATACGGAAAGCTACAGTGCAGTTGGACAAGGATCGTTAAGGGCCATAATCAGTATATTGGGGTTTCTTTACCTACAAAAAATACCCGTCACTTGTTGTAGAAATGACATACAGTGCAGTACATACAAAGATAGTAATCGTGAGCAGTATTAAAATTGGTTTTCAGTGTATCCACCCATGGTATGGTAAATGAATAGTAACCAATTTATAAATATTTTATGTTTCTATGTTTTAGTTCAAAGTACACATTTATACAATTAGTTTAGATTAACTCAGTGTGTACAGAAACTATCAGTTAAGTTACTGTGTATGTTAATGTAATAACTCATCGCATGTCGGCAAAGTTATATTTATTCAATGTATGTATTATAAATCTGTATTAACTCAATGTGTGTCAGGTAAATGTATTACTTCTTAATATGTGTACCATATTTATTTTTAGCTCACCTGGCCTAAATAACCAAAAGGCCTAGGGTGGTGATATTTGGCCAGAAGCAAACTGGGATGTAGGGCCACCCAGTTTGTTCAAATAAATGACCTTCACACATTTTCAAGGTCAAAGGGGTCAAATATGTTAAAAACTGTAAACAATTTCTTCTGAATAACCAAAATACCCAGAGTGATGATATTTAGCCAGTAGCATGCTTGGATGAAGGACTATCAAGCTTTTTCATTTGAATGACCTTGACCCACTTTCAGGGTCACAGGGGTTAAATATGTATAACTATTTTAATCACCTAATTTCAATAAACAAAAGGTTAGAGTGGTGATATGTTGCAAGTTGCATCCTGAGGTGAAGGGCTATACAATTTGTTAAACATATAATGACCTTGTTAGACTTTCAAGGTCACAGGGATGAAATGTTTTTAAATCTTTTAACAGGTTTTTTGGAATGACTTTTAATTATGAATACTGATATTATGCCTGTAGCTTTATTTTAGATCACTTTTAAGGTTACAAGTGTGAGATTTATACCAGGTGAGCGATGCAGGCCCATTCAGCCTCTTGTTTTACTAAATGTGTAAGTGATCATTCATTTGCTCATTTTGTATGGTAACTTTATATTAACTCAATATGTAAACTGATTGTATATTTACTTAGTTCTTACATACATACTAATGTCATGTTTTTGCGCACATCATATTTCAGTGGTAAACAAGGGTGTATATTACCTAGATGACCGATCCTCGGGTATGGAGGTTCTGTCACGTGATGTTGGCCTGGTGAATGTGCTGACCACAGAAGACTATGTGAGCACACTGCCGCTACCACTAGCTCCCATCAATGATGTCACAGGCATGGCATTTAACCTCTACAACAATATCTGGGACGTCAACTACATCTTCTGGTACCCTTATCAAATGTCTGACACAGACTCTAAGTTTAGATTTACTCTGAACTTCCCTCGATGATAATCTGTGGTATAACGTGTAAGTGTAAATGAGTATGTTGTTTTGGTCAGGATGGTAAGAGGTACATGCTACAATCGTGATAAAATGTTAGCATTTCTTTTGAGACTAGTTGTACAGGTGTAGTGATTGATAGATATAAAACTGAATTAGGTAACAAAAGATTGTATTTTTACATTTCTCTCACATAACTGCCAAAACAATCATCACCCCAACGTCATGGTTTCCTGTAATCAGTACAGCGAGGTATAACCTCATTCAGTGTGAAATCACACCGTTGTCACATATGTTTGGGGTATGGCCTGGAAGAGCAACTATCCACTTTTTTAGTGATTGGTTATGGTTTATATTTGTTTAATTGACTTTAAAGTAAAACCTCTACTCTATGCAGCTTGTAGGCTTAGGATTATACTTCATCATTTTCTCCCTCAAATATTCTAAAGCATTACACGTATAACTTGTTGAATACCTTTATTACATAAAGTGTTGTATTTTGGTGACGATGATTGTTCATCAACAACACTAGGTAGTAGTACAATAAATGTAGCCAGTAAGATCTGATAATAAGGTCATGCTTTCTCTGGTTATGGTTTATCAGGTCAAAAAGATGACAAATGCTAGTTAAAAATTCTGTCATAATTTACATTTGACATCCCATTTGTCTCTGATAAACAATGTGGCAGGAAGAACAGAACAGTTTACCGATTTGAAAAACAATGAGCTGGAATAATTTTCACCATTATTGGTGTATAACAATACTCTTTGCTGTTAGGTTTATCAAAGGGCTACAACAGAAATATACAAATATTTGTGTAACAATTTAAATGTATCAAGTTTATTTTGTTGTCCAGGCTCTCAATCTGTCGTTATAATGGCTGACGAGGCTTGTACAAGATCTGGACACTGAATAGTGTGTCATTGATTGTTCTCATAGGATCTGATCTCTTTACTTTGTTATTCAAAACTATCTACAGCTCTCTGCTACTTTTACTCAATCTTTGATATGTATTTTTTATCTCTCTGGTTTTTTATTTAGAAACTATTAATCATCACGTACATAAAGAATCCTCAAAAAATGAAAGTTGCTTGTTGAATTTATCTCAACCTCATTAGTTAATTTTCAAAACTTTAACTAGACACTAGGTAAACAAAAGTTTGTTCTGTTATACATTTAGAAATCTCATTAACGATCTCGTTATTTTTTTGGAATGTTGTATTTAAGATTGTTTTGACTTAATCATGTATTTTGTCTAATAAGGATAAAGACAACTATATATACAGGACACATTTGTTGTTAAATCTAGGTTTCTTTTCTATGTCCTCCCATTATATCTTAAGATAGGTTATCTAAGAACATCTAATTTTGAAGTTCTAGTGTTTCATTAGCCAAATGTTGCCAATACTTTTTATCCAATTCGTGTTTGTTTTATCAAACAGTCTGTCCATCCGTATCTTATTTACACTTTGGGTTTAGCGCCATTTCTCTACATCTGCAAGTCTCAGATTCATCAAATATATCTAAAGGAATACAACACATAAAGCTGATACATTGCAGCAAGTTTCTGTGACCTCTATTTTCTGTTTCACTGACATTGGTCAGACTTTAATTCAGCTCCATTTGTGTGCTTAGACTTTTCTTTTAGTTCCATTCCTCTGATACTAAAGGTCCCATAGTCAACAATCTTTATATGCAGGTACTTTTTGCGGAATGTAATACACCTTCATGTGACATTTCACTCATAGGAATATATATACTAATGTTTAGCTCTATTTGTAAGCTAGTATTTGCATTTAGCTCCATTTCTTTAAGACTTTACATTGACCTTTGTTTCCATAAAAGCAGTATTGGGTTTAGCTCCATTTCTATACATCTGCATCATTAGCCTCGGGCATAAATTTCATAAATACATACATCTTGAATTATGTCCATGACATAACAAACGTTTAAAGCAACATATCTTTTTATCTTAAATACATTTTTGGGGTAGCTAAATTTCATGACATACAATTTACTTTCTTATTCATCAATATTTTATGATTCTTGCGTAAATGTTTATGTTACTGATAATGTTGTCTTCATCATTGTGTCGCATACTCTGTAACAATATTTTATATATAGATGATTTTGTTACTAGTCTAGTCAACATCATTAATTACCACCTGTCTATAGACTCGTCAACCCATTTTCAACAGGTTTTCTTTAATCAACAAGAAAATCTTGTTGATTCAAGTTCTGACCTCACCTGCATGACACTGAGAGAGCTTATGCCATGTCGCCTGTGATTGTTTGTTGACTTAGATCAGCTATATTGTGGTCAAAATTGTCAAAAAGTAATATAGTTAGTAACTTAAATTTAAAAAAGTTTCACGAAGCTAAAAAAATGTATGTGTGTGATATTCGAATATGTACAAGTTTGCAATATAAAAATGATGTTGACTCATCTATGCTATAAGCGTATGTACACTATATCTTTATACGTGTGCGAAATGACTGATCGATTAATAAATTGACTGGGCTACATTTTGTTTATTATAGATCTTCTAGAATCTATGAACCCCCTCATCTCGATTCATATCTTGCCCTCAGCTGTTCATCGAGATGACTTCCTTTCTGTGCCATTCCAAATAGATTGCTTTTTTGGCCCAATACTTCGATTCGGACAGAAAGACCATAAGGACAAAATTCATATTTCATGGTTCATTTCTAGTCTCGGTATATATGTGAGCGTATCTAATATGCGAATACAGAGTGCCAAATTGATTGATACATTCCAATTAGTGGACGTAATTATATACCGTGTTTGGTAATATTATTGATTGTTTTTGTTTGGAAACATCATATATTTGTGATTGCTGTACAACTGTTGTCTGATACAATCCAAACATAGTTTATGGGATGGTTATAGATTAAGTGAAATAACTATCGACGTTGCATAAAGGGTGTATTTTTGAAAGAAAACATCTTTAATGAATATATTTAAACATATTGCATGCAAAATTTAAATGTGTATTATAATTTCAGATATACATATTATATCGAAGTTCAACTTTCCTTCTTGTAAGAAAAGAAATGTTCAAACCTATTCTCAGTATGTGCAGGACCATTTTGAAAACTCTAGTAAACTGCTATGTAAAATTTGAAAATGTACTTATTATCAGTGGATATTTATCACAAAAGCATGGCCTTCCCACCAATATTACTATATGTTTCTACACACGATCACATTTTGAAAGAGTTGAATTACGCAATAAATATACAAATTTTCTTACATCGTCTTTGCATGAATCATTAAGTGTACTTATGTACAGTCTTTTATGCTAGTTTTTGCATATGTATTAATTGATGTAAGGAATTGAATCAACTGGCATTAAAACGATTTATACACAATGGGTCTCGGCAGTTTGTTTTACTAATCTTATTTTAGTTTTCGATGCAATGAGCCTTTTCTATCGATATTGCATATATTGTACTATGATTAAGGTTTAAAATAAATAATAACTACATGTAGAAGTTCCACAGACCCCATTGTAGGGAGATAGTAGTCCATCTCACTGCATGTTATCTGAAGAGGCGAGAAATGTTGGACAGCTGCAGAATCGGGGTCTTTTTGTCCACTGTTTAGAGGGCATAAAAAACCGAAACTGATCTGCTGCACTTATTACAGCACTTTGGATTTTATCTTTAATTTTTCTCACTTCCTTGCACTTCGATTCGGAGTGTCTGTATATAGCTAGGTACCTGTTTTCATATGACTTCGGCTGTTTGGAGGACGTTTCATCACAAACAAACAATACTCATCATTGATATTCAAAGATACAGAGGTTCCCGAGACTTGATAGAGATAATCACTACAGCGTTAAAAGGTTTCATGTACAGTATTATCTTTTTTCCTGTTTAATAATTGAAACTGACATTTTGTGACTAACTTATCTTTACTCCACCAGATGCCAAATGTATGTGTTTCAATCAATCAGAACGAGCTAGTTAATTTTAAAAAAATGTCTGGATCAATATTCTGTTAGACATTAAAATGGAGAATTTCAGATTACCATGACACCAGCCTACGATATATTATAAACAGTGTTTGATGATTTCCCATTAAATGCCATATATTTCGCTAGTATTGTCGAAAGGCGATATTTTTTCACGAGTGCAAAGCACAAGTAAAAAATATCAGTATGTTTCCCATTCTGTAAGTACTTAAAAGGCGGAAATTACGCTACAATGCGGGAATTAGAAGCGTAACCTTTCGTGTCATATTCGAATGTCGTCAGGCTTGACTACAAACTATAAGCAAGTGCACCATTTTGAAGTATGTTAAAACAACCGTTTATTCTACCGTCATTTCATCTGCATTTGAATAAAAAAATCTGCATCTTAGGATGAAGTGAATAGAAAGTACCGCTGTGGTTGGTTAATCTCAAAAGTGGTTTATTTAAACATACATTGACAGATCTGTCACGTTTGCTATCTGTTTCAGTGTTTTACGTTGACAGAATACAATTTCTCGCCATCAGACATAACCACACTTCCGGTCAGGGAAAAAGATTTCTCTCTCTCGTTTCTTGTTGGTATAAGACAGAGCTATCCCGGTGTAGAAGTCATTTCCTTTCCCGTCAGAAATTTTGCGCTTATTTGAAATTCCCAAGGTTTGAAGTTCCCTACCCCGGGGTATGGGGGATTTTCTTATAGTTTTACCCAAGGGTAAAGGCAACCGGGTTCTAATGTCATAATGATTGTAATGACGTCACGTCAAAGATGGTATCACGGAAGAGAACTCCGATGTGCTCGAAATTTTACAAGCAACGTTAGCTTTTGCATGAAATTACCATTTGCGTTTGAGATGGGAGAAAGAAATAATCATTCACCACTTTCGGAGAAAGAGAGAACGAATTCAACTTTCGAGATAAAATTCTCAAATGTCTTTCTCCGGTTAACTCTCGGGCTAGATATTTAAGAATATGACAAATTACCCTTTGGGTTATTTCTTTTCTGTCTCAATCTCAACGGCAAAAATAAGATAAATGTCTATTAAAAGGAACAAAAGATTATTGTTTTAAAAGATGTTCATCTATGCTCTTGTAACGTAAGTATGATGCGGAAAGCGATTCCTCTCCATCTGATTCTCTTTTCTATGTGCTACAGTCCAAAGTTTGCCATGGTGAAAGCAACTCCAGGGCCGGGATACGTTAGGAGTTCAAACAAGACGGCCATTCTCTTCAGACTAGGCGTGTCGCCACACAATGGCATGCCGTCGCTGTCATCTATCCCCGTAAATACACATTTCAAATGTTTTAGCATGATTCTGAAATACGAACAATAGTCAAGATAGTTGATTTGCCAAATGGGGAATAGGTATATTTGGTTGGTTTAAAGTGGAAAACAATATCTATCACCGATGTTTTCGAATGTAGTTTTGGTGTAAAGAGGTAGTTTTGGTGTAAAGAGGTGTTCGAAACACGATGTATTTAACATGAACAGTTGTAACATATTCGTACTGTTAGTACATTTTAACTTCCGTTTACAAGATACATGTAGGTCCAACACACTCTGAACAGGCAGCGCCAGTCTCCAGTTTGAAGACCTCGCTGTGACCACTCTCATTGGTAAATCTCCATATTTACATCATTCACCAGTGGAATACTGACAGTGAGGAATTTCACAGGTAGTGCAGTACCTAAACAGAGTGATATATTTCTCTAGCGTTATATACATGTATTAAAGGACACTGTTACATCTGTCTCTAATGTAATTTATTGTAAAATGGAAATTTTGTCGTATTAAAATGTTCGCGTTATGACCCATTGAAATAATAATGACGCGGAAGGGTTCAGGTCAGCGATGGTCCTCAATTTATTTTTCATTGATGAGTCTTTCACCCATAGACTCTTTAATAATTATTTGCACTCATCTACTTAATGCGAAAAAACGCAAGCATTTCCACACCGTTTCACTCTCATGCAGTATTTCAAAGTGATATTATTCACATGTGAAGTAAATTCTAGTTCGACAGAATACTAGTGTTTTTCACGAGTGCAAAGGATAGGGTAATACACACATATAGTTCACAGTATACCTTACAATGTTCTTACCCATCTCGAATCCACGAAGAGCATGCGACGGCGTATGTATGGTACGAGGGCATAATAGGAAAATTAAAGCAAAATGTTGTACCCGGTTCCCTCTCAACACGACCAACTATGCGTGTAATGATAGCTACCAACAAGCACAACAATACAACGTATTACTACGCCGAGATAATATTTCCGTTACAAGTATAATAATATGTTTATGATGTCGTTATATATAATTACCTTCTGTATTCGCTGTGCCCTTCCGCCACCCCGATGTCTTCAGGGATTTCCTCTATAGGACAGCCGTGCAGAATTGGATGCATCGAAGGAATACAGGCACTAACCACGTACTTGTAGCCAGCAAGCACTGTTGAAATATACACCACACATTAAAAACAATCAAGCACTGTTCAAATATACACGACACATAAAAAACAATCAAGCACTGTTCAAATATACACAACACACATTAAAAACAATCACACGATGAGTTTATATTATTTTTGATATATGCTATTTAACACGATATCCCAAGAAACTCAGATGAGAGTATATCAAAGTACGAAACGACAACACGATTGCATGTACATTTGTTTCAACAGAGTTAAAACAAACCACAAAATTGGGCAGACGAAAACAGCTTCAACTTCTCAAAATCTACAATTGTTTGCATGCTTTTCTGAAAAAAACGAAAAGCACACAATGACCCAAACCTTACACTCGATGGCACTACAATTTCTGTTGTTGAACTGACTAAATATCTCGGCCTCATTTTTTATTCGAAACTCTCTTTCATACCACATATAAAGTATCTGAAGGATAAGTGTTCCAAGGCGTTAAACATTATACGACTCCTTTCTCATACTGATTGGGGAGCGGACCGTGAAATTCTTTTGCGCCTATACAGATCACTTGACCATATCGATGAACATCGCATTAAAAAGGCAATCATTTGTTCAGACTCTCTATTTGTCCTACATAGTTTACAGTTATGAGATCCTAAAAGCATACTCGTACAAAACCTTGCTCTTCGAATATCAGAATTCAGTTTTTACTTGACCACAGCGACAACAGAACGGTGATATAGAAATTCAGCTTTCTTTCGGCCATAGTGACAACAGTACAATTGTATGTATATAGAAATCCAACATTAATTTGGCCATAGTGACAACAGAACAGTTATAAGGAAATCCAGCTTGTATTTGGTCATTATGATAACAGTACGGTTATAATGATATTGAGTATGTATTTGGCCACAGTAAACGGTTTCTTAGACATCCGGTTTTTATCTTGCCACAAAAAAAAGGTACGGTTACTTCGGCATCCAATGGTAATTCGGCCATAGTATTTTAAAGGATATATTAATTGAACTTATGAACATTAAAATTGCAAACACAATGATTTTTACAGTTTCATACTTAGTATTTCATCCTTAAACTTGTTGATTTCAACTCACGGTCATCAGCTAGTGGTGTGAATCCTCCTTTATCTGTGCAAAGTCCACCAAATACATGCATAGCAGCCATATTTATTTCGTTATTAGCACACTCAGAACGAATGTCTTTCTTTATCTGCTTTGCCTTTGTTGCAAGAACTCTACAATTAATAAACGCAACGGGTTAACAAACGTTTCCTTGGCAATATAAGTTAGATATAAATGATATACATACATTGTACGTTGTACATTTGTAAATAAACACCTTAGCGACAACACAAAAGGACAAGATATACTATTGTGTCAACTCACAAGTGAATCATAATACAATGGTATAATTTGAGGACAAATGTAACCAATCATAACACAATACAAACACACATGAACAAAACATAAAACACACAGTGACAACATTTTCCACTATTTCAACACACAAGGAAAAATATATACATGTAACAGCTTTAATAACAAGGACAACATTTACCACTTTTGCAACCAACAGGACAACATGAATCTAACCGTCAGCACACAATGACCAAATTAACTACACCGTCAACATACAGGACAACATATATCTAATCGTCAACACACAATGACCAAATAAACTACACCGTCAACACACAATGACCAAATAAACTACACCGTCAACACACAGGACAACATATATCTAATCGTCAACACACAATGACCAAATAAACTTCACCGTCAACACACAGGACAACATATATCTAATCGTCAACACACAATGACCAAATAAACTTCACCGTCAACACACAGGACAACATATATCTAATCGTCAACACACAATGACCAAATAAACTTCACCGTCAACACACAGGACAACATATATCTAATCGTCAACACACAATGACCAAATAAACTACACCGTCAACACACAGGACAACATATATCTAATCGTCAACACACAATGACCAAATAAACTTCACCGTCAACACACAGGACAACATATATCTAATCGTCAACACACAATGACCAAATAAACTACACCGTCAACACACAGGACAACATATATCTAATCGTCAACACACAATGACCAAATAAACTACACCGTCAACACACAGGACAACATATATCTAATCGTCAACACACAATGACCAAATAAACTACACCGTCAACACACAGGACAACACATATCTAATCGTCAACACACAATGACCAAATAAACTACACCGTCAACACACAGGACAAAATATATCTAATCGTCAACACACAATGACCAAATAAACTACACCGTCAACACACAGGACAAAATATATCTAATCGTCAACACACAATGACCAAATAAACTACACCGTCAACACACAGGACAAAATATATCTAATCGTCAACACACAATGACCAAATAAACTACACCGTCAACACACAGGACAAAATATATCTAATCGTCAACACACAATGACCAAATAAACTACACCGTCAACACACAGGACAAAATATATCTAATCGTCAACACACAATGACCAAATAAACTACACCGTCAACACACAGGACAAAATATATCTAATCGTCAACACACAATGACCAAATAAACTACACCGTCAACACACAGGACAAAATATATCTAATCGTCAACACACAATGACCAAATAAACTACACCGTCAACACACAGGACAAAATATATCTAATCGTCAACACACAATGACCAAATAAACTACACCGTCAACACACAGGACAAAATATATCTAATCGTCAACACACAATGACCAAATAAACTACACCGTCAACACACAGGACAAAATATATCTAATCGTCAACACACAATGACCAAATAAACTACACCGTCAACACACAGGACAAAATATATCTAATCGTCAACACACAATGACCAAATAAACTACACCGTCAACACACAGGACAAAATATATCTAATCGTCAACACACAATGACCAAATAAACTACACCGTCAACACACAGGACAAAATATATCTAATCGTCAACACACAATGACCAAATAAACTACACCGTCAACACACAGGACAAAATATATCTAATCGTCAACACACAATGACCAAATAAACTACACCGTCAACACACAGGACAAAATATATCTAATCGTCAACACACAATGACCAAATAGACTACACCGTCAACACACAGGACAAAATATATCTAATCGTCAACACACAATGACCAAATAAACTACACCGTCAACACACAGGACAAAATATATCTAATCGTCAACACACAATGACCAAATAAACTACACCGTCAACACACAGGACAAAATATATCTAATCGTCAACACACAATGACCAAATAAACTACACCGTCAACACACAGGACAAAATATATCTAATCGTCAACACACAATGACCAAATAAACTACACCGTCAACACACAGGACAAAATATATCTAATCGTCAACACACAATGACCAAATAAACTACACCGTCAACACACAGGACAAAATATATCTAATCGTCAACACACAATGACCAAATAAACTACACCGTCAACACACAGGACAAAATATATCTAATCGTCAACACACAATGACCAAATAAACTACACCGTCAACACACAGGACAAAATATATCTAATCGTCAACACACAATGACCAAATAAACTACACCGTCAACACACAGGACAAAATATATCTAATCGTCAACACACAATGACCAAATAAACTACACCGTCAACACACAGGACAAAATATATCTAATCGTCAACACACAATGACCAAATAAACTACACCGTCAACACACAGGACAAAATATATCTAATCGTCAACACACAATGACCAAATAAACTACACCGTCAACACACAGGACAAAATATATCTAATCGTCAACACACAATGACCAAATAAACTACACCGTCAACACACAGGACAAAATATATCTAATCGTCAACACACAATGACCAAATAAACTACACCGTCAACACACAGGACAAAATATATCTAATCGTCAACACACAATGACCAAATAAACTACACCGTCAACACACAGGACAAAATATATCTAATCGTCAACACACAATGACCAAATAAACTACACCGTCAACACACAGGACAAAATATATCTAATCGTCAACACACAATGACCAAATAAACTACACCGTCAACACACAGGACAAAATATATCTAATCGTCAACACACAATGACCAAATAAACTACACCGTCAACACACAGGACAAAATATATCTAATCGTCAACACACAATGACCAAATAAACTACACCGTCAACACACAGGACAAAATATATCTAATCGTCAACACACAATGACCAAATAAACTACACCGTCAACACACAGGACAAAATATATCTAATCGTCAACACACAATGACCAAATAAACTACACCGTCAACACACAGGACAAAATATATCTAATCGTCAACACACAATGACCAAATAAACTACACCGTCAACACACAGGACAAAATATATCTAATCGTCAACACACAATGACCAAATAAACTACACCGTCAACACACAGGACAAAATATATCTAATCGTCAACACACAATGACCAAATAAACTACACCGTCAACACACAGGACAAAATATATCTAATCGTCAACACACAATGACCAAATAAACTACACCGTCAACACACAGGACAAAATATATCTAATCGTCAACACACAATGACCAAATAAACTACACCGTCAACACACAGGACAAAATATATCTAATCGTCAACACACAATGACCAAATAAACTACACCGTCAACACACAGGACAAAATATATCTAATCGTCAACACACAATGACCAAATAAACTACACCGTCAACACACAGGACAAAATATATCTAATCGTCAACACACAATGACCAAATAAACTACACCGTCAACACACAGGACAAAATATATCTAATCGTCAACACACAATGACCAAATAAACTACACCGTCAACACACAGGACAAAATATATCTAATCGTCAACACACAATGACCAAATAAACTACACCGTCAACACACAGGACAAAATATATCTAATCGTCAACACACAATGACCAAATAAACTACACCGTCAACACACAGGACAAAATATATCTAATCGTCAACACACAATGACCAAATAAACTACACCGTCAACACACAGGACAAAATATATCTAATCGTCAACACACAATGACCAAATAAACTACACCGTCAACACACAGGACAAAATATATCTAATCGTCAACACACAATGACCAAATAAACTACACCGTCAACACACAGGACAAAATATATCTAATCGTCAACACACAATGACCAAATAAACTACACCGTCAACACACAGGACAAAATATATCTAATCGTCAACACACAATGACCAAATAAACTACACCGTCAACACACAGGACAAAATATATCTAATCGTCAACACACAATGACCAAATAAACTACACCGTCAACACACAGGACAAAATATATCTAATCGTCAACACACAATGACCAAATAAACTACACCGTCAACACACAGGACAAAATATATCTAATCGTCAACACACAATGACCAAATAAACTACACCGTCAACACACAGGACAAAATATATCTAATCGTCAACACACAATGACCAAATAAACTACACCGTCAACACACAGGACAAAATATATCTAATCGTCAACACACAATGACCAAATAAACTACACCGTCAACACACAGGACAAAATATATCTAATCGTCAACACACAATGACCAAATAAACTACACCGTCAACACACAGGACAAAATATATCTAATCGTCAACACACAATGACCAAATAAACTACACCGTCAACACACAGGACAAAATATATCTAATCGTCAACACACAATGACCAAATAAACTACACCGTCAACACACAGGACAAAATATATCTAATCGTCAACACACAATGACCAAATAAACTACACCGTCAACACACAGGACAAAATATATCTAATCGTCAACACACAATGACCAAATAAACTACACCGTCAACACACAGGACAAAATATATCTAATCGTCAACACACAATGACCAAATAGACTACACCGTCAACACACAGGACAAAATATATCTAATCGTCAACACACAATGACCAAATAGACTACACCGTCAACACACAGGACAAAATATATCTAATCGTCAACACACAATGACCAAATAGACTACACCGTCAACACACAGGACAAAATATAACTAATCGTCAACACACAATGACCAAATAAACTTCACCGTCAACACACAGGACAAAATATATCTAATCGTCAACACACAATGACAAAATAAACTACACCGTCAGCACACAATGACCAAATAGATTTCACCGTCAATACACAATGACCAAATAAACTACACTGTCAACACACAATGACCAAATAGACTTCACCGTCAACACACAAGGCAATACGCCGGAACAAGCTTCAACATACAAGAAAAGAACAAACAAAGCATCAATAGGACTTGATGAAATACAAAACAAAAGAAAACACTATGAACTTCTTTAACTATGGACTGCGGGACATGACTGGTGTTTTCTTTACACAAACTGTTGTGTACGATTAAGTGACATTTCTGGAGCGAACATCTGTAACAAAAAGACTTACTGACAAGATTCCTCTACAACTCGTACAAGGGCAGCTTTCAAGACTCGCTTTGGTTTATAAAGTCGGGATGCAATGTCGGATATAGTGTCTACCATCGCATCGCTTATTCTCTCTGTCAACATGGCGTACGAGTTGCATTCTGTGATGGTGGTCTGACGAACCGATATTTCAGTGTTCAACGTTCCCAGAGAATTTGGGGCAGCCAAACTCAAAGCAGTAAGAGCCAATATAACTAAACAAACCAAATCGGGAAAAGCTTAAAAATGGTACATGTGAATCATAAATACAAACATGTACAATGCATTTAAAATTGTGTTTCAGGATCAGTCTTTGAAACTACCTAATGAATAAAATGCACGTGGGCTGGTTTCAAAGCAGCTAACCCCTTCACCCCTATGTAACGTTAGTAGGCTCTACCATTTATTGATCTGGATGAGTTTATTATGGTCTACAGTGGTGAAAGGATTCAATTCGTCAAAAAGGTACAGAAAAAGTACAAAGTAAGGTAGCGCCTACCTGAAAAATTACTTTGTCGACGATGAAAACGTAACAAAGTAAACCTCCGCAATAAATAGCTGTTACCCATTTGCTTAAAAAACACGATTAATGAAGTGCTGTTATGTCAATATTATTTTTGCAATTCACATACAAAACGAGTTATTCTACATTTAATTCCATGACTAATACATTTGTGTTTAAAATAATAATAAAATAAATTGAAGTTTGGTTTATATCAGTAGTTATACCGGTATATACTGTCACTGCTATATGTTACGACACATATTTCATTTAACTCATCATTTTTCATGAAATCCAAAAACAGCAAGTTACAATCAAGGTCATTTACAAAGTAAGCACATGCACATACGCTATACATTCTGGTTGGTAATTTACGTAGATCTATAGTATACTGGAGGAATGGTTCATTCGAAGATAACAATTCAAAATACGATAACACTTTTACCCAATATATTTGCATTGGAATATCTTTAATAATTACATAGAGGTGATTTACAAATAAACAACTTACCAGTGATTTTGGAGACTTCCATTTCTTTTAAAACACAGCAGATGTTTTATTAGCGTTGTGTTTCACCGATTTCGCCACACTGTAACAGGATAATGCCACAAATGTAAAATACAAATCAATGGAGGGTAAGTATGCAAATATGGGGTAATTTGAAAAATGTCCATGCAACATCTGTTTGACATTACCATAATAACCTACGTAAATACTTAATGTAAACTAATTTATATTGATTACATTTAAAGGATGATACTAGAACAACAAGTCAAATTATGCATCATCTGCCGATTCAGCTGGATAGAGATACACTCATCTGCCTAACGGCGCCTTATACAGGGATCATTTACATGTTGTTTTCTGGTGTAACCGTGCATGAACATAATATATCATCAGTTATTTGTGAGTACAATTTTTGAATTATCCCCATGTCGTGTTTTTCATATTTTATACACAACAGCGTCCATACACTAAAAGGAAACCAAACACTAAGAGTCCAAGTTCAGATTTTCGACTGAAATCAAAATTCTATAAATAGAGTGTTATTTGAATACATTCCTAGTTACTTTTTTATATACAACAAGTAAGTGTTCCTTACTACCTTACTGTAATAAAATAATTTCAAGTATACATTTATCATTATAGTATTATAATCTTCTAAAAGTTTGATTAATATCTTCGTTTACATAATGGGATATATCACTGCCCGCTGACACACACCTACTACAGTTATTTTGGTAGAAGTCTTGACATCTGTTAGTAGAATTACACTCACTACTTACCTGCCAATCCGGCTATAGTTAAGCTATATGTCATATATATACGTTTTTTAATTTATTTTTGTGTTTGTAAGGCAGCTTTAAAGGCTACAAAATGGTACTGTAGCAGTTGGCTACTAAACACGCAATTGACTGTATAAGTATCTGGGATACTGCAATGCAAGTAAAATAGCCATGTAATAAAAGTGAAAACTACTCTCATTATGTTAACCAAAATATGAATCAAAACTGTAAAAGAATATAATATTTGTATGTGCAGTCATTTAGTTTTGCACTGTAGATGGTTCTCAAATTGATCAAAGCACTAGCAGGCAATATTCAAGATTGTTAATGTAAAGTACCAAGATAAACTGAACTTGTTGAATATCAAAAAGAAAGTATTCAGAAATAGTTGTTTTTATTGTGGTCTTATATATCTGAATGTCAGATACATGTCCACATAAAAATACCAGTTGTTGTCTAGTTTTGTGTCAAGATACATAACAATTATAGGAATAAAAATGTTTAAAAAAATGTTATGAGGAAAATAATCTCAGACAAGTTACACTTACTTATTGTATATCAAAACGTAAGTTGGAATGTATTGTGATAAAACTGTTTTTGTCGTGGTCTAATAAATCTGAAATATGGACGTCAGAGTCATGTCCAAATAAAACTAGTAGTTATCTAGGGCTTTCTGCAAAAAAGGGGGGAAAACAAACAAACAAACAAACCTTAAGCAAAAAACAAAAAACATAGCAATTATGATTTAAAATGTTAAAAAGGAGTATAAAGAAATGTAATCGCTCAACTGAGCTGAGACTTATACTGGAGCAGCACGTCTCTAAGTTAATCAAAATGTATTAAACTGCTATAATTATCGCATAACAGTAGTTCGTGTAAGTGTTCTGTCTGAAACGAAAGTAGAGAAACGACTCCAGTAAACAACCACGAGGTTTTGCTGTTTATGCTACATAATCCCCAACGTTCAAGCTTCAATTCCAAATGTTGTCATTCGCATACCCCTTTGACTCTCCGCATGACCGGTGACTGGTCGTTACAGTTTCCTTTACCTTGCGATGGAATCCAGATTTATACAATGTTTTAAGGCACAACCGAACTACGAATGTGTGCTGTGGGATACTACACAGTTTAGGATCTCGACACCGATACCATTACTATGTCGGGGAGTCTTCAATTTTGAATATATCGTAGCTCATTACAGCATTAGCCGTAATGCTCCATATAATAACAATAATTCCAGCTAAATGTAACATCAAAGTTTGATATATAACTATTAATGTAAAATATTAGAACTAATTTGACATATAACTATTAATGTAAAATATTAGAACTAATTTGACATATAACTGTTAATGTAAAACGTTAGAACTAATTTGACAAACATTATTTTAAAGGAGTTCTTCTTACAGTGTACATCATCGCAATGAAATGTATATTAACCTATACTGATATAACATAGCTAACATTTTAGTGTTTAGAGTTTTGCTTTCATGATGTGAGTACCAAGGCCTGGCCTTTGGATCACAACCATTGAAGAACCACAACTTAACCACTCAATCTGCTAATAATTACATAACATTGGACGCCATTGTTAACAATGGCTGATAGACTGAACACAGAGTCTGATGTATACAGCTGATGGCCATGTCATTTATATACAGGTCTCAATCGCAAGTTCATGATTGCCGCAAAAGTTATTATCCCTGTAGTGGATTATTTGTCTCTACAGCTGTAGAAAGGTACTGACATCGACTGTAATAGAGTATGATGACATGATAAATGTTTCACAAATGTATTGAGTATCATCGGTTTAGTAGTCATCAGAACTACTTTCAAATGTTGTAAAATATAATCAACGTAGGCAGCTTGCGGCCTGAATTGATTGTATTTCCAACATTTTCGAATCCTGAGTAAGATATTCCATCATAATGTACAAACTTACGTTCATTATATCATTATATCTATTCTACCAAGTAAAATGTAATGAACGTCTTGTTCGTGTCTACTTCAGTGTCATTTCAGTGAGCAAACTAACCTAAATGATATTATTATTTATATAAGGCTGATCATTTTACGCACGGTTATATTTGTCACGTGATACGTATATGGCACACACTCTAGAGTTACAAACAGCTCATACACAACGTAAAACAAGAAACATCTGCCATCTAACATTCTAACAAATTCCAACCTATCATAAATAACTATGGGCGAACAGTTTACATAACAAGGAATGAATTAATATCTATATATCTTATACTTTGTCTCTCTTGGTAAAGCCGGTTGATGATGTACATTTATAATGTACGTTACTGTATAATAATGTAATAGCGTCCAAACCTGTATATATTTGGAAAGGATTGTTAATTTTCATTCGCCATTTAGTGGACAGACCATAAACAATTAACACTGACCTTATGTTTTACTTTATGTCGGATGTTTATTTCAATCAATCAAATCCACCAATCTGTCGACATCGCTCGCCAACACATACAATCAGCATTTGGCAGATTTACAAATACTATTTCAAATCGCTTTCGCGATAGGTTCAGTGGAACATTCTTACCGTGAGCTTGACAGGTTTTGAGCAGATTTGTTTGTCGGTCTGGTAGCAAATCGTCAAATACATGCACAATTAAATGCGGATACACTCATTCGACAAATAAAACCTGACCCACGACTCGCTTTTTTACCGGTACATTTCCGGGGGAGGTTTTTGGAAATGCGTTGGTCAATTGGAAAATATTTCACGCTCGAACATGATCTGTCGTCAAATAATCCAAGGTTATTAACCAATGAAAACGTGTCGTTACATCGCTAACGTGGTAGAAATTCAAATTAACAATGAGTAAAGCGTGTATATTATGAATCTTGCCACAGTTTAAAAGATATATTTGTGGGTAACAAGGTAACGGCAAACCTCGGGGCCGATCACGTCCGTCAGAAAATTCTACAACTTCGTTTCTTCGAACGACACACACTTGCTTACACCTGTTAGGGGAATAGTAATACTAACTTGGTTACACAGTTTAGGTTCCGTTGTATGATTATAGACCACTGTACCAGGCTAACAAATGGCCTGTATCCAGGGCCTGTATATACGACAATTATAACAGCCATGAGTGTAACACTGTTCAGATTCTTTATTTCGGAAAGTAGACATGCATTCATAAACAGTACGAGCAATTCAATATTATGTCTTTTATGACACTATTACACGAATAATTTAAAACAATATATGTCTCTTTTTGTGTCTCTTTCTTTTATTGAAGATAGTAGAGTACATCCGGCGTCACACTAGTCTCGTTCAACCAGACGCTTGATCACTTTGTAAATCTCTGTTTGACGTAGCTTACGCAGACAATAAGAGGCTGGTTTAACAAGACTAGCGTCACACATAAGCATGTCACTTGTCGTACTATGAGAACCTGTATATCATACCAGTAGCCTCTGTTATCTCTAGATCTGCGCCCTTACCATACACCATGTCTGAGATTGTTGAAATCAAACTGTGCATTCAGGCTTTTATGGAACATCTTACCGACTAGAAATGAGACTAATTAGGGTTGTTAGAATATGTTTCTGCTCTCTTATATTCCACCAATAAAATGTGATACATCGGTGTTGTTGTTTTTGTTATTTTGTGCGTATTTTAACAAACTCTTGAGTTAACAGCAGATAACCGATTTCCTAGTCATAACAAAATTCAAAAATTGTATTCTGTCAGCACGCTTCTACTTAAAAAAGGAGTTCTCCATTAAATACTCTCAATTTTATATCAACAGAGAGGTTTAAAACTGGGGATTATGTTAGAACATAATCATGCTACCTTTTGAAGTGCAGTATTTTTGCTACATGTAGGACTGGTAGGATATGTACTTATACAAATGATGGGTTTTCTGTTTTATCTTAGCTGAGGAAGGAAACGTTCAGTGCTACGGGTTAACCAACTAATATAACATTTTAAAATCCTCACCAAATAAATAAGAAAAGTTTTGTAACAACGCGAAAATAAATGTTGTACAATGTATGTAGTTGATTAGAGTGTCAAGCATTATGCCGTGATAAACGTAATGACAATTTAAATGATAATAGCTGTCAAAAAGGGGGAGGTGCCAAAATTACATAACAATGTATTAGCTACATGTGGCTATATAAGGTTTGTTACAAATACCAGGTTTAGCCATTGTTTAATTCTCAACCCAGATCATATAATCAATGATATATATATATATATATATATATATATATATATAAACAATGTACTTGTTATGAAAACAATAATAATGACAAACACCATTCACTGATTTGTAGCTTTGCTATAATAGTGGCATGCACGTAACAATCAACAGTTAGTTTCATAATCATGTTCGGACCAGTATGTTATTGTAAATAAACACTGATTCCGGTAAGCGAGGTTCTAAAATAGTATTTACAAACGCTGTGTCTGGTATAGAAATATCCTATAATAATGCATTAAAGACTCAATCTTTCCGGTGTAAAGAGGTTCTTCATAAGTATTATCAAACACTGTATCCGGACTAGAGATATTCTATATCAAGGTATTAAACATACTTACTCCAGTGTAGCGATGTTTTACACTGGTATTAACAAACACTATCTCCGGTGTAAAGAGGTTCTACATAAGTATTGTCAAACACTGTATCCGGACTAGAGATATTCTATATCAAGGTATTAAACACACTAACTCCGGTTGAAAGAGGCTCTTCACTAGTATTTACAAACGCTGTGTCCGGTGCACGGATATTTTATATTAACGTATAAAAGCACTATATCCGGTGTAGCAATGGTATGCATTAGATTTACAGATGAAACAAACACTGTATCCGGAGTAACGATGAATTTAAAAAAAAAACAAAAAACGTTTGAGGACAATTTTACGAGGTTCTATTGTTATATATGGAAACACCATATCTGGATTTATGAGTTCCTCTTGTTGATTTCTGAGATGACATGCTAAGACTTATTTGTGTGGTATCGCTCGGAGCCTTCAGGCTGCTGTCTTTTGAGTGTTTTCACCCACCCCTTTTTCACCATAATTGCTTCTAACTGTAGTCTCATCACATTTGCTTATAATGTGTCGCTTCGAAATTCATATCCTTTGCAAATTTCTCCAATCTATAATTCCGTGAGCAGGTTTCTATTGATAAACACATTTAATAAGAATGTTAAGTGATAGATATTTGTGTTTTGCATTGTATATTTGCTGTTTGTATCTCTCGATTGTGTGCCTCTCGACTATCTTAGTCGTCTTTCGTCGCATTAATTTATATTTTCATTTTTTTCATTCCACATGTATGGCGATCTTTTTTTGTGTTATGTTATTATCTTGCCTGCAAAAATAGAAATCTACTACAAATTCGAGTTGCTGTTCAATCTAAGCTAAAATTGAATTACTTTTTCTCTAATTTTCTGATTAAATCACACAAAATGTCTCTTTTTATTTTTCTCGTCTAATAAAGATGACAGAGTACTCTAAGAAATTAAGATAACTATAGAATTCCAAACTTAAAACTTTCTCTTACAATATCTTCCTTCTTGCTTTCTAATATGAAAACCTGTAATACTTGAGACGGTACTGTCAAATCATTGCCACTCTCTTCTTCCCAATTAGCTTGAGCCCCAAATAAAATTACAGGTACACCTAGTTACCTTGGACCACACATATAGCGACAGAAAACACAACATTTTACATATAAGACTAAGGCATCAATGAAGTTCTCTTAGATATGATTTATACAAACTTAGTTAAAGATTCAAACTGTTCAAATTGTTGTCATCATTGTGAACATTTATTTGTTCTTTGAGTGTCAATCTTATAGTAATTCTCGTACAGTACTGTTCCAATACACTAACATTATAAATATGCAAATAAGTTTGAGGTTACTGCTATATGGCGACGAAAACCTAGCTTTGGATGACAACTGTAATTTATTAAGACATTTGCAAACTTGTGTTATGTCCAGCGAAAGATTTTGAATATAAAATGTATGTACATATGTAGTTTTTGCCTTCCTACCTTTACTTGTATTATTTGTTATTGTCTATGTAATCGCTTGTTATTGACATGTTGATAGGAGATGGCTTCATAAGTTGCAATAACTTGTGCCTAAGCCTTTGTACCCATTAGGACAATATAGTGTTTAAAGTCAAGACTCTTTGTTCCTAAGTCAATGAGGCGTCACACACAAACATTTCACTGATCGTGCTATGTGACCCTGTAATCCATTTAAAAAGTCTCTATTATCTATCCGCCACACACCAAACTACATACCCCAGATGTTTTAATCCAGACTGTCCAGTAAGGCTTTTATGGGGCATCTTACTTGCTAGATATTAGGTCTTATTAGGTTAGTAAGACATGTTTTGTGCGTTCTTATATCTCGCTCATCAAATATGAAACATCGTTGCTGATACCGTATTTTGTACATGATCGAGAGTAATGTAACAAATTCTTGTACCGGAGTCTGATACTGTTCTATCTTGATTACTTCTTTTGATTTCAGTTTAAATTTAAATCACATTTCGTTTCATATAAAATAATTCAACTATTGAATCCTTCAATCACGCTTAGGTTGCGAAATCTCCATTAAATGCTACTAATTCTGCATCAGCAAACAGTTTCAAAACTAGGTGTCATGATAGAACATACATTGTTATCATGCTACCTTATCACATATACAGTTGTTACGGCAGTAGCGGATCATCGGCTATAGCGGATCAGTCAATAAACAAAAGCTGATTACACAAAATGTATTGATCCTAGAAAGAAATTAATTGTTTGCACATGGTAACAAGTTGTTTCTTATAATCTACAAACAAACAGAATAACTTCATATACGTATCATGTCCAGAAATCCCGTATTTTATATTTTCTCAATCTGCACCTCTAGCGATGACCGCCATCTTAGAGAACGGACGGTACGATGTAGAAATGGATTCTATTAAAATACACACTTACAACCAAATAAATATGCATTTAAATGATGAATTATGGTGTTTTGTTTCAGAATCATGTATTGTTTGGTAATCTTGGATAATGCTTACATGCGTTATTGTGTCGTATCCGATGTGTGATTTTTCGGCTATAACGGATCAGTGTTCATCTGCGCACGCGTATGCATTCGCATAGCATCGTTCAACGTGCATTCACGATTTCAAATTTCTACACATGTTTTGAGAGTTGGCACATGTATTGGAGTTATATTTAAAGTGTATTCGTTGCAAAGGCTTCAATTAATAATTAGATGCGATTAGTAACCTCTGAAAAGTGTGTTTTGAGACGTCCCATCTAACTTGAATCGTGAGTGAGAGGCCCGCCAAAGGGCGTGATCCGTTATAGCCGTACTGATCCGCTATAGCCGACAAATCGGTAGGTCTTGTTTTCCTTATTCCGTTGTGTATATTTGATTTTATGAAGATCTTTTAGTATCACTGGAGAGGTAATTAAATTTACTTTCTGAAAATATATGATGTCTTTAAAAAAAGGTTTTGCAAAAATCGTGTGTAGCAATTATATGCAAAGTGATCCGCTACTGCCGTAACAACTGTAAAATGCTAGCTATATGGTTGACTGATAAAATATATATTTATTCAAATAACGTAATTCATGCGTTCTCTTAGCTGAGGAAAGAAACGTTCAGTACAGCGGGTTAACAAACTAATATAATATAATGTCTTGAAATTCAAGTTAGCTGACAAAGTATCAAGTTTTGCAACAACACGAAACAAAACGCTGTATGTAGCTGAAGTAACAATATCGGTTATAACACAGAGTAACGCAACGCAGTAAGATGGTCTAGAGTTAACCCGCAGTCCAAAAGTCTGACAAACGGAATGTCACGCCAGGTCCAACTGTCAACATAAGATCACAGAAGCATGCCAGCCTCTTGAGACTTTCTACGTCACCACAGGCATTTACGTCGTTTTTATCAAATCCTTCAGAGTTACATCGTTCTTGCTCTATCATAATGCTGGAAAAAAATCAATTAAATTTTAAAATGAAAGCTAGCAAAAGGATACGTCATATTTACAAGTTTGCGATCATTTGTACATATTAAATACAGTCATTTTTACAAAACTTTATATCACGTTATTTCTAGATTTTTTATCTTGAATAAAGGATGCTTAACATACGCATTGTAGTAATGGAATTTATAAAATGGATCATATTGATAAAGAACTGCATCACTGCAGGTATGACTGCGTTTTAACATTTGCTGTAGGTATAGTTTCAAAGTTGAGTTTGCAATAGGTTTAATTTGGTAACAGAATTGTATGTAGGTAACAATACTATATTAAGTTATTTTTACATATATTTAGGTTGACGAGCTTGTTGTATATATTTAAGTGCATTATTGTCCTGTAAGGATCCATTTCATGAAGAAAACACTATGTGTGACTGTGCTGTGTCATACCATATGTAGCATATCATTGTTCTGTTTTTGAAGCGGTCTAGGACATTATCTGTTTATGTCATCGGCCTTCAATCTCAATTGTATCCGTTCTATTTGCAAAGAATTACACATACTGCCTGTAGGCCTGAGGACCTTTTCCCATGTCTATTGTTGGATCTAAACTCTCCGACCTGCAGGAACGCAGGACGGGTCCAACCTGGTGGGAACACTCACTTTCCCAGGCGAAGTTAGAGGTTACGAATCCATCAATCACTAGAAGAAGATAATACTTTTTGATAAGTGCTTATAATTAGTTAAAAGTAAACTTAAGTATATTAATAATAAAATATACAACATTTATTTAGCGCCCTATATACTTTAAGGGGCTTTACGACACATGAAAAATAGTATTCCTACACTGACAGTTATCAATATAGTAGATATGAATGGATACAAATCAGAATTATACATAAGTAAAGAGTTAAGACATTGATCTGCATACCCGTATGCGTTTATATTAGTGTTTTCAAGGAGTTTTGATGTGTTGAAATACATTTTTTTATGAATAGTAAACAAATTGAAATTTGCAGTAACCCCGAAAAAGTTGTAATGCAAATAAAATCTTAGCATTAACAATATTTAAAGACAAACAATAAATACGGAAATGTTAGAAAATGTGTAAATGTTTGAACGTTCTATCATTACATTTGGTCTCTTTGAAAATGGGTCCCTCCATAAAGACGATAGCCCATGAAATATGCTGAACACCATCACGTAAGCGTCATCTTTTAACAATAAATAAATCCGCTTGTAAATTTTGTGGCATTTTGAAGTATATATATTTGAATGATTTGATAATTTAGTTACCTATTAATGACAGGTTATAAAATGGTTCTTGTCATGCCTGACCGCACTTAATAGCAATCGTGACCTTGATCTCGTGTGACCCTACACAAAGGAAGAAAAGTCCAGGTGCTTTTTCGCTTTAGTTTATTTTCTTGAAGAAGCTAAATTCTCATCCCCCACATTCTAACTCGTGTGGTTGTTGGTGATCGTATAGTGGTGTATTAGTGGTCGTCTAATGATCCAGTAGTATGCAAACTGGTAGCGTGCCCTTTGGTTCCCTCAGTTCAAGTGCGTAGAGAACAATTGAGAACGGAGACCAATTTCTACTTATTGAGATTTCCTTTTCACAACTGGATTGCTATGCCCAATGTTCATAGGCACTAACTAGCTATCTGCACCAGTGTGAACATACCTAGTATGTCACATGACTGTCAAGAGAGATGTCAAATTCATATCTTTTTGAATAGATGTATCATTTCATAATTTCTACTTATTGAAATTTCCTTTTCATAACTGGATTGCCATGTCCAATGTCCATAGGCACTAAATGGCTATCTGCATCAGTGCGTACATACCTAGTATGTCACATGACCGTCACGAGTAATGTCATTAACACTTCCTCGGATAATCTTGCCAGTGCAAACCATAATTGATAATTTTCCAGTAAATAAATTGGATTTACCTATTTAGCAGATTTCAGTATTGTCGAAAAATGCTGGAGATGCTTCCGAACTTTTTGTAAAAGCTGAAATTCAGTGCTAAGATGTGGCAGTTATGTCAAACCTATGACGTTTTTTCGACTTAATGCTTTACTTTTTACCAAATCTAGATATTATTTTAAAGATTGTACACTTACTAGCATATTCGTTGGGGGCGATTAACGGAGCGATTGTTAATGTTTATCTGTCAATGTATTGGAACTCTTGTGTTTAAACTATCGGTAAGCGTAAAAGAGAATAATAAAAGCACATACATGATACCAATACACAGTAATCCCTCTGATTTCTTATAACATTAAATTTTACAAGTAGTATTACCCGATGTATGAAATGCATTTGCCTCGTTGACCTGACAAAAGATGGTCCGTTTTCTGTTTAATCAATGACATTTATCCGGAGTAAGTTTTAGGATCTTGTTAGGACCAGTTTATTAGTATATGTAAACACTATTTCCGATGAACGAGGTTCTAAAGCAGTAACTAAAAATAGCAAGTCTGGTGTAAGATATTTTACGTCAACGTACATGTATAAATCACCATTTCCGGTGAATCATGCCTTTATCGAATACAGACTAACACATAAGCTGCGAAGTGTGGTTTTATATACATTGGATGTTATATAGTCCCGGACACATTTTGAATTCATTTAATCTACTTACATCTATATAAGAATTCCGTCATTGTGCCATTTTCATAACACAGTCCACTGAACACGTGCATGTTTGCCAAAACTTCATCCGCATTAGGACAGCTTTCTAGTGTGTTGCGGTATCGATCCAAAAGAGAAGAGAGTACACTGCAAAAGTAGAATAAGTGTTCTATTTTTATTCATTTTTCAAATTAAGTTCCAATAAACATACTTCTTTTTCAAAAAGTTCATATCTGATATTCCAATGGAAGATGTTTCAGCCATCGTGTATCCAGTCCCAAACGTTAGTTCGCCCGATTATGGGGTTTTAACTAAACGATATCTTATCCTCGTTAAACCCTATTTTGTCTGGCTTCCACCGACGGAAGGCTTAAAAAGATTCTGCCAGATTAAATCATCAGTTTGATGAATAACCATCCAGTACAAAAAAACCCACTTAGAATGGCAATGGAAATGCATGCAGAAAATATTTTTCACTTAAAGAGGATGAAAAATTCATGGAGTTTGGAAAATATAGCGGTACATATGCCTTTGTTGTACAGAATAGTACATGTAAAGCAATTCAATGCATTGTAATGAATTACAAAGAGTAAAAGCTACCAAAAAGTGACATATCGCAAGTCTACTTAAGGGGTAACGATCCGTCCTTAGAATGATACAATGGGAACAACGTTTAATTGTAACAAAGTAGTCCAAATCACCCCCGTGACCTGCAGTAATATGAAATTGTACTTCTTACATTTACAAAGATATTTTGATTTGAATTGTAGCATTTATACATTTCGACCTAATGAGAAGCCACACAGTGGCCATACTGCAGAATAACTTAACGGATGTTGTTTTTGAGTTAATGGCGTCATAATTCTCCTATTCAGGAAATTAACTGAAAATGGACGATTTCTAGGCTTCGACGAGTTCATGATAGCCATCCTGTTGGACGTGTAAACGGAATTTTAGAAGAGTTCAGAGTACAATGATACACTAACAAAACAAATGAAATCGAAATCGACAACAACTGCGTTTTGGCCTTGAGGTGACAAAGCTCTGGCGGCTCTCTAACGGAGGCGGGACGACTTTGTTTCTGCACACTTGAAAACTAATACATGACCATTTGTTTCTCCATGTTTCATTTTTAATACTCAACAGAGAACAACTGTTACAGTCAATTAAGTATCCACCAAGTACTGATTGCGGTGGCCATGTTAAATACCAGATTAGAAATAGCATTACATAACGCACATCTACTCATACCCATCATTTCTCGACAGGGGACGTTGTCGTTAAAAAAAAGAAACATGCATAAGGCTGTATTCAATAGAGCCGACCCGTATGGACCTTGTACATGAATTTGTTCAACTTGTTTAAAACGATTCTTTTACGCTCTTTTTCCGAAACTAAACGGGGACAACTGATATAATTTAAATCCTAACTGAAATATATGTTCTTTTGTTCAGTTTTAGTCAAAATGTGAAATTCAAACATATTTACACTGGCTTATCATACGCTTTTATGATTTAAATAAAGCGTCAAGTACTTGCGTCTTCATATAGTATAACCACCTGCCTACGTAAATCATATTTTGGACCACTTTATAACTATCATAAATCACAACCCCTTATCCAAATAGATAGTAAACACACAAATCACATCCCCTTACCCAATTATACAGTAAACACACAAATCACAACCCCTTACCCAATTATACAGTAAACACACAAATCTCAACCCCTTACCCAATTATACAGTCAACACACAAATCACAACCCCTTACCCAAATAGATAGTAAACACACAAATCACAGCCCCTTACCCAATTATACAGTAAACACACAAATCACAACCCCTTACCCAAATAAATAATAAACACACAAATCACAACCACTTACCCAAATAAATAATAAACACTTACCTGCACATTGCAATAGCAGCGGAACGCAGATCCGCCTGGGTAATCACACCCTGTTGGAAAAGCTGTTCAGCAGTACCTCTTGTTAAATCCATCACATCAAAACTCAGTCTATGTTGTAACTCAGAGTACGAAGTGCATTCCAGCTGTCGTGTTTGTCTCCGCAATAGTAACACAGACCGGGACTCGCTTTGTGGAAAACTCGTCGCGGAGGAAACTACCAACACTATCAAACCTATCCAACCTTTAAAAAAGAAGAATTGTGAAAATACAAATATTTGAAATTTGTTTCATTTCTCTTTTATGCAGCGATTATTTCATATAAAATATGTGAGATATATACAATATTTCAGCTGTGCATATTAATTGATCAACATATCAGGATATTTCTCAGACAGAACTTATTAAACATTGGAATGAAACCGTCTTACCGAGTAGTCTGATGTGAATATCCATAGTGACCAACATGCAATTAGAGTATTCTGTTTTGAATGACTAGCGATGTAAATACGTGTTGTAATGTCCCTCCTGTATTGTACAGTCAATGGCAGAGTTTATGTATAGCATACCATACAGACAACACCGCCTAATCATTGGTTGACATTTTCATATCTCAAGCGGCAATTAGGGAAATTGAATGTAGTTAAATGCTATCATCTTCACGATTTATCGTTTGACAACTGCAGATTATTTCAGCATGCATTAAATAACATAATTATATCAAAATATATGGCAAAGTATTTTTTATTTGAAAGGCTAAAGGCCTTTCTGGTATTATGACATTGACGTTGACGTACAAGATACAAAAAGATACAAGATACAATAAACTTTATTTAACGTCGCATACAAGTGAACACGGAAAATTAGCTCTTGAGAGCTATTATTGCGACAAACATATGTAAAAATAATAATAACATATTATATTACAAGTAAAGGGAGATAATCACATATGTTAATAATAAAATAGTTATAATCATCACAGAAAAAGAAAGTATACATATCTCAGGTTTCTAAGTGATTGAGAGTCCCCTACCTACAAAGGCCCCCGGGATAGATATATAAAAATGGTGTTAATATATGAAAAGCATTAAATGTAAACAGATAAGTAGTATTCAGAATAGGTAAATAAAAGACATAGTTAATAGTGAATGAATACTTGAATATACATACAATTCTTATATAGCAAAGAATATAAATTGACAGAATATACACTATTATAGTGTGAATTAAAAATGATACCGAAATCAATTAACAAAATTTATCAAGTTTTGTAAAAAAATATATGTTAGAAAATATGGAATTAAAATACAAAAAAATTGCAGCAAATATATCGGATAGAATTAAAACATAAGAAATGAGATAAGACAATAAAAGTATCACACAATCCAAAATATCAGGTGTCAGAGGTAACCAGGGCACAGTATGAAGTATCACTCTTTGCAGATATTGCAAAGGCAGATGGGGTCATCCCAGGAATGGACCAGCCTCCTGAATTCTTTGAAGTTTTCAACTTTTCTTAAGTCATTTGGGAGACTGTTCCACACCCCGGCGGCCTGAAAAGCAAACGATTTATGTCCATACTTCACAGTGTCGACCCTGGGCACCTCTGCAGTATTTTCTTTCCTGATGTCATAATTAGACATCTTAATATTTAATGTTATGAATATATTCAGGAGAAATTTTGTTTAAAATTTTAAAAACCTCATTACCCATTTCCTTCAGACGCCTTACATGAAGCCTGTCGCTGTTGGTAATACTGAGTAAGTGTCTGAAGGATGAGTTGTGATCATTATGCATAAACCTTAAAGCTCTTTCTTGTATCTTTTCTAGCTTTCTGACACTCTTCATGGAACAAGAGTGCCAGACTAAAGGACAGTAGTTAAAATTTGAAACAATAAAAGACTTATATATTACAAGTCTACCTTGTTTGGTTAAAAAAAACTCCCAATTCGCTTTAAAATGGACAATTGCCTTGAGGCTTTCCTACACATTTCAGAGATATGAGCTTCAAAATTTAAAAATGAATCAAAGTTCACACCTAAAAGTTTGACAACACTGTCAGGAACAATATCTTTTCCTCCAATACTAAAAGACTGTATAGCATCTACCGAACGTTTACCTATACAAATGGCCTGGAATTTATCAGGGTTTGCTTTCATCTGGTTTAATCTAAACCAGTCTATTTAATTTTGAGTCATTTTCAATATTATGTTTTAAAGCATCTAGGTCTTTATTTGATTCACTGACAGTGTTGTCGTCTGCATAATTATACAATTTAAAGGATATCACATATAAAAACATATTATTTACAAATACATTAAAAAGCAAGGGTCCTAAAATAGAACCCTGGGGTACCCCTTCAGCACTTCCAGCCAGTCACCGCATTTGGAGCCAATTTTTACCTGCTGCTTCCTGCTGGTCAGGTAGCTGAACACCAGGTTAACGAGGCTTTACTCAGGCCATAGGCCTCCAGCTTACCGTCCAACAAGTTATGAGGAAGACAGTCAAAAGTCTTGGATAGGTCCATCAGTATGGCAGCGACATACTCATGGTTGTCCAGGGCTCTACGCCAATCCTCAACAAGTCGCAATAGGGCGGATTGATACCCAAATCCTGGTCGCAAGGAAAGGATGAAAAACATTTATCAAAAAGGCAGTCAGTTGATCACGCATGGTTCTTTCAAAAGATTTCGATATACAAATTAAAATGCTGACTGGTCGGTAGTTTTGTTTATCTAAAATATCTTTTTTCTTAAAAACAGGAACTACCTGTGCCTCATTGAGTCTGCAAGGCAACTCTGATCTATCAAAACAGTGGACAATCATGTCGCTCAGAGGCACACTGATGTCAGTACAACAGGCTCTAAGGAGTTTTGAAGATATGCCATCGAGACCAGCGGCCTTCTTCGCATTCACCTTAGAGATAGCCTTTCAACCACGAAAGGAGAGACATGATTAAAACAAAACTTTGACTGATCATTATTTTGTGCCCTTATCTCTTTTAAAATAGTTTCATCAGAAGAATCTTCTGTTCCAATATATAATAGCCTCATTTTCATTTAAAATTACATTATTGCATTGTGCAGAGCCCTTATTTATAGAGGTTCCTCAACGAGTGATTGTTGGTTATCGATATTTATCTAATTCGAGTTACATGCTGTAGTTAAGGTGTACGAAATTAACTAACGAGAGTTTAATAAACGTGATAAATTATTATAACAAGTTTAGGGACCTTTTTCTCCTATAACGTCCGCACATCGCCCACACATGGTGCGCACAACTGTGCGATTTAACAATCGTTCGCCCCTGTTGTGCTTTTCTCTCCGCACAACTGTGCAATTTGTTGATCAATATTACGAAATGATAAAAATATGGAAGGCTCGTATGTGCTCATCACACTAATTAAGATTATGTACAATTTTACAATGCGTGTAACACAGTATAGAGTGACCGTTAGACTGTCACAAATGGGTTTGGCTCCTCGTAACAGAACAGGTAAATATCAATTTGTGACCCGAGTTTTACCTGGCCTTTGCCTGACACGTGATACCGTATGACCGTTATGAAAACACAACTGGACGTTTAATATTTGTAATTTGCATTCGTTTTGGTCTATAGATCCCCTTCACCTGGTTTTCACACCTTGGCGAGTTACGTAACTGCCCAGGGCGGGGAAAACTACGGCCCAGGTACAAAGTTGCTATGTTTACCTGTGTTGTCGATAATGTGTTGTAATTTTACATGTGTCGACTAAGGTCGACAAACCGAACACACCATTTCTATATTAAGAAAGTATAGACAGAAATATAAGCTTATATGTAACTTGATTATAGAAACATACTAAAAAAATCAAGTGTTTATGTTTAAACACTAACCCGTATATATTGTTAAGCCATTCCTCAATTTACGCCAACCACGATTGTTATCGCACAACGTTCGTCGATCGTCCGTACAAATGTGCGCAAGGATTGATCGTCAATTTTTTTATCGTTCACACACCGTGCAACATCGTGCGCACACCGCACATCGTGTAACGTTGTGCGATCCCACAACTGTACCAACGGTGATGAGCTAGATAGAATACAGGCACATGTCATTAAGCAGAGGAACAAAAAAGACAGAGGTCAAACCTATGTGACAATAGAGACAGAGGACAACCCGATGTAACAAAGGAAGCAGAAGACAGATCAATGTTACAAAAGAGACAGAGGACAAACCTATTTTACAAAAGAGACAGAGGGGAAACCTATGATACAAAAGAGGCAGAGGACAAACCTATGATACAAAAGAGGCAGAGGACAACCCGATGTAACAAAGGAAGCAGAAGAGAGACCAATATAAAAAAAAGAGAAAGAGGACAACCCGATGTAACAAAAGAAGCAGAAGACAGATCAATGTAACAAAAGAGACAGAGGACAAACCTATGATACAAAAGAGGCAGAGGACAACCCGATGTAATAAAGGAAGCAGAAGAGAGACCAATATAACAAAAGAGAAAGAGGACAACCCGATGTACAAAAGAGACAGAAGACAACCCGATGTAACAAAGGAAAATGAAGAGAGACCAATGTAACAAAAACAAAAAAAAGAAGCAGAAGAGAGACCAATGTAACAATAGAGGCAGAGGACTACCCGGTGTAACAAAGAAAGCAGAAGACATATCAATGTTACAAAGGAGACAGGGGACAAACCTATGTTACAAAAGAGACAGAGGTGAACCTATGTTACAAAAGAGACAGAGGACAAAACTATGTTACAAAAGAGGCAGAGGACAACCCGATGTAGCAAATGAGACCGAGAACAAACCTATGTTACAAAAGAGAAAGAGGACAACCCGATGTAACAAAGGAAGCAGAAGAGAGACCAATGCAACACAAGAGACAGAGGACAAACCTATGTTACAAAATAGACAGAGGACAAACCTATGTAACAAAGGAAGCAGAAGACAGATCAATGTTACAAAAGAGACAGAGGACAAACCTATTTTACAAAAGAGACAGAGGACAAACCTATGTTACAAAAGAGACAGAGGGGAAACCTATGATACAAAAGAGGCAGAGGACAAACCTATGATACAAAAGAGGCAGAGGACAACCCGATGTAACAAAGGAAGCAGAAGAGAGACCAATATAAAAAAAGAGAAAGAGGACAACCCGATGTAACAAAAGAAGCAGAAGACAGATCAATGTAACAAAAGAGACAGAGGACAACCCGATGTAACAAAGGAAGCAGAAGACAGATCAATGTTACAAAAGATACAGAGGACAAACCTATGATACAAAAGAGACAGAGGACAAACCTATGTTACAAAAGAGGAAGAGGACAAACCTATGTAACAAAAGTTACAGAGGATAAACCTATGTAACAAAAGTTACAGAGGATAAACCTGTGTTACAAAAGTGACAGAGGACAAACCTATGATACAAAAGAGGCAGAGGACAACCCAATGTAATAAAGGAAGCAGAAGAGAGACCAATATAACAAAAGAGAAAGAGGACAACCCGATGTACAAAAGAGACAGAAGACAACCCGATGTAACAAAGGA